TAAGTACATAAGCCTCTAAGGCGTATATTAAGGTCTTTCGTTACTCCCAAATAGATTAAGCTTCAAGGGTTAAAAAAGCTTTAGTTTGAAAGTGTGATATTAAACGCTTTTCACCATAAACGGCGCAAATTTTCAATGATTATTGCGTTTCAGATTAAGACTAATACCAGATATTGTGAAAGGTGGGACTATGCGTTAAAGATGACGGTTTTCTCATGGCCCACTGCACGAAGCTTAGAGTAGAGTAATGTCTTTTAAGAACTTAAAAATTATCCTGGGTTATCAGGTGTCTAGCAATACAAGATTAATTGTTGTCTTTCACGAAGTTCTTTAAATAAATTTTGAGCTAAGTACTCACGCGTATTTCGGGGGTTACTACTAGTTTTAATAAATTGTCACCCCTATGCTGTAATCCGTCGTAGATTCGATTTTGCTACGAATCTTAAAATTGGTATGCTGTAATCCGCGTTGCCGTATCGTAATTTCGAAATTCGGAGACCATCTTCGAAATTCGTAACGTTCGTATGCCTGAATCCGACGTAGCTGTAATTTGTATGTATTTGTCGGAAATTTTCTACGAAGAGCAACTGGTGTCGGAGCGAAGCGAATTCTTTTAAAATATCAATAAAATTAAGTGTGGAAACGCAAAAATATGTATTTAAGTTGAAGTGTGAAAAAAACCAATGTATTATTAAATGTTTACAAAATTATCATGTCGACAATCACAACAAATCGCTCGCAATACGAAAAACTGGTGGAAAGCATGAGCGAAAGGCCGGACATTGCCCGAGGCTTTGTAATAGTTAAAGAGGATGTGGTGGAATTTTGGGAAAGCGTTGCAAGATTTAAAGCAACACAATATTTAGTTGAATGGACGCCCTTAAAAAGAGGGAACATATATTTATCATTTAAGGTAAATGGATCAGAACTGTCTCGTAGCAATCTCCTTTGTATATTAATGCAACAGTTGACTGCAGCATGTTCTTCCTCCTGAGACAAAAGTGCACCGGCCACTGAATCCATTCTATTTTACTTAATTAAGGAAAAGCTTTTTCAAATACGATTAAACAATTTTTTTTAATTTCACTGTTCACTTGCGATTATATTTATTTTGATTTGTTTCTGTCAAAGCAGCTGATTAAGAACTTCGAATTTCACTATTTTAGTTGGTAACGCCGTTGATAGTTACGATCGGATTACAGCATACCAATTTTCGAATTTTCGGAACGGAGCTACGAATTCGTAACTACGAACTTTCGGATTACAGCATAGGGGTGTGTTACTTTAATTTGCTGTAAAATTTACCTTTAGGTTTATGTATTTTAAGAATACATCGAAAATTTGTTTTAGAGAATCAATGTGAAATAATTGCAGAAACGATTATCCAGTTTGCTGAGCAACCGAGACGTCTGCTTTTTAAATTATATTTGTAAAACAAATCGGCAAGTACATATCGTCCCCGCACGCCAGAAACATGAATGTGTAAAGATGAAAATTTTGGGATTTTTTTATATATCTTTCTTCGACAACAATTTTTCCCATACACTTTTGCTGCTATTTAAATAAAAAAGCCTTTTTCACCTAAAAGTAACATTTTGGAAATATTTCAAATTTTTTGTATTTTTATACCCGAGCGCACTTGTGCACAAGGGTATTATAACTTTGTTCACATAACGGTTGTTTGTAACAGGCAAAACGAATCGAGATAGATATAGACAAATGTATACATAAATGATCAGAATGAAAA